AAGAGCGAGAGTGTCGGCAGTGCTGCACAGGACATGCTCAAGAAGAATATCTCCAAAAAAGTGTGTTTTTGGTTATAAGGTAACCTTATTCAGCTTCCCAAAGAACCCAGCGTTACGTGAACAGTGGATGCAGTTTGTTTTTCTGGGGCAGCAACAGAGTTTTGCAATGTGTTTGTTTTATAAACAAGGCCCAGTTGGATTTGCACATCGTTTGATACTGAAAGTATCAAAAACAACTCGAGTTATTAAATTTGAATGTGAATTTATGGTTACGTGAGCGACTGTTCAGTGGTATTTAACTTCATGCAAATGATCAGTTACACAATTCCACAACCACCAATAGATTCGCAGACAATGGAGGTCACATGGATCAGTGTAATTTTAGTATTATTTATTTACTATCATATTTATTAATATTTTAAATGAGCATTTATTTTTTATAGTTTTAAGTTTTCGTTTTAGTTAAAGTTTTAGTCATTTTGTTATGTGCTTTGGTCATTTTTTTATTCGTTTATTTTTTTTCCTTTTAGCTTTAAATTATAGTTTTACAAATGTTAGCCTAAAACATCACCTAAAAACATATTTATTTCATTTAAAGGGATAGTTCACCCAAAAATGAAAATTTGATGTTTATCTGGGAATCATGGCTTTGAGAGTAAAAAAAAACATACACAAACAAAACCAAATTAAACCCTGCGGCTCGTGACGATACATTGATGTGTAAAGACATGAAACGTTCGGTCTGTGCAAGAAACTGAGCAGTATTTATATAATTTTTTACCTCTATGCTCTACAATGTCTGAACTGTCCTGAGTGTGTTCTGAGCGCATTCTCAACAGCTGGTGCATTACCGCCACCTATCTCTCAAATGGACCATTTGAGAGATAGGTGGCAGTAATGCACTTATAATTCTGCGATATGCCGTAAAGCAAAAAGTAGAAGAAGACGCGTCATGCGCCGGATGTTGTGAACGCACTCAGGACAGTTCAGACATTGCGGTGAATCAGAGGTAAAAAACGATATATATATACTGTTGAGTTTCTTGCACAGACCGATCGTTTCATGTCTTTACACATCAATGTATCGTCACGAGCCGCAGGGTTTAATTTGGTTTTGTTTGTGTATGTTTTTTTTTACTCTCAAAGCCGTGATTCCCACTCACTTCCATTATATGACTGACAGACTGCAACGGTTTGAGTTAAAAATCTTTGTTTGTGTTCTACTGAAGAAACAAAGTCATCTACATCTTGGATGCCCTGGGGGTAAGAAGATAAACATCACATTTTCATTTTTGGGTGAACTATCCCTTTAAGGTTAGGGTTATGTTAGGGTTAGCAACTCATTGTTATAGAGTGCTGCAGTGATGATGTATTTTTGCAGGCCAACTCTAAAGGTCTCTGAAGCATCACACTGGTTCCCAAACACTATGAAATGTGTATTATTTTAATTTAAGTTAGTTATAAATGATTAATGATGCTCCACTCTCAATTCATCCACTCATCCACTCTCCACAAGCACTGTGGCCTAATTTTAAAATAACATGAAGACATCAGTGAATACATCCGAGTTAACTGATTGCAGCATTGCAATGGTAACATTATGTAACTCTGACAAATCTGAAAGGCTAAGATGATATTCATCATTAACTTTGTTAAAAACTCTTGCACGTCTAGAACTACAAGTATGTTTCAAGTACAAACAAACCTATTCAAACGGAATCCAAAAGAAGCATTTTTATAATAAACTTAAAAGAAAAAACATCCGACAACTGAGATTTTCCCTTCAGAAAAAACCTGTTCAACCAGCAAGACATAATTGCAAAGTACGAGAGACTCAAACAAGTGGAATTTACTAATGGAAGTCCCACTCAAAGCTCATTAGAATAATAATCATGTTATAGTGCATTTCCTCAGAAGAGGTGAAGCAATTTGTGAGACATCCTGGCGTACTTCAAATCCCAGGTGTTTTATATGCAAACGGAAAGCCACTCCGGGGTATCCCAGTGCAGGAATCAGATTCAGTAAGGTGTTGCATTAAGTATGAGCCCATGAAGCATCTATGAGGCATTCAGACAGTCTGCGCAGGGTGAACAAGACAGACTCATGTAACATTCATGGTGGGAAATGTAATTTTAAAAATTATTTTAGATTAGAGATTTGTAGGACGAGAGTTGCGATAAATGCACAGCATGCAAGGAATGGTTCACCCCAAAAATGTAATTTCTATCATCATTTAATCACCCTTGTGTAGTACTAATTGTTATTTTCCTTCATGGAACATAGATGTAGGTGTTTAGCATAATGTTTTCCATACAATGGAAGTGGATGGGGACTGGGGCTGTTGAGCTCCAAAAATGACAAAGATTTTCTGTGAATAACTACTTAAATTTCTGCTTTTTTATGCACACAATGCTATAAGATTGTTTCAGAAGACATGTAATATAATCCAAGTTAGCTTTAAATTATAGTTTTACAAATGTTAGCCTAAAACATCACCTAAAAACATATTTATTTCATTTAAAGGGATAGTTCACCCAAAAATGAAAATTTGATGTTTATCTGGGAATCATGGCTTTGAGAGTAAAAAAAAACATACACAAACAAAACCAAATTAAACCCTGCGGCTCGTGACGATACATTGATGTGTAAAGACATGAAACGTTCGGTCTGTGCAAGAAACTGAGCAGTATTTATATAATTTTTTACCTCTATGCTCTACAATGTCTGAACTGTCCTGAGTGTGTTCTGAGCGCATTCTCAACAGCTGGTGCATTACCGCCACCTATCTCTCAAATGGACCATTTGAGAGATAGGTGGCAGTAATGCACTTATAATTCTGCGATATGCCGTAAAGCAAAAAGTAGAAGAAGACGCGTCATGCGCCGGATGTTGTGAACGCACTCAGGACAGTTCAGACATTGCGGTGAATCAGAGGTAAAAAACGATATATATATACTGTTGAGTTTCTTGCACAGACCGATCGTTTCATGTCTTTACACATCAATGTATCGTCACGAGCCGCAGGGTTTAATTTGGTTTTGTTTGTGTATGTTTTTTTTTACTCTCAAAGCCGTGATTCCCACTCACTTCCATTATATGACTGACAGACTGCAACGGTTTGAGTTAAAAATCTTTGTTTGTGTTCTACTGAAGAAACAAAGTCATCTACATCTTGGATGCCCTGGGGGTAAGAAGATAAACATCACATTTTCATTTTTGGGTGAACTATCCCTTTAATTGCCAATTATTTCAATTAATGAAAATGAATTTTAATAAAGTAGCACTAGACTAAAGTGACTAAAGCAAGACATTTATGCATACACTTTTAGCAATCATCTCAATCAATTGTTAGTCAACAAGGCAAAACACTATGCATGCATAAAATGTGTATTATTTTAATTTAAGTTAGTTATAAATGATTAATGATGCTCCACTCTCAATTCATCCACTCTCAATTCATCCACAAGCACTGTGGCCTAATTTTAAAATAACATGAAGACATCAGTGAATACATCCGAGTTAACTGATTGCAGCATTGCAATGGTAACATTATGTAACTCTGACAAATCTGAAAGGCTAAGATGATATTCATCATTAACTTTGTTAAAAACTCTTGCACGTCTAGAACTACAAGTATGTTTCAAGTACAAACAAACCTATTCAAACGGAATCCAAAAGAAGCATTTTTATAATAAACTTAAAAGAAAAAACATCCGACAACTGAGATTTTCCCTTCAGAAAAAACCTGTTCAACCAGCAAGACATAATTGCAAAGTACGAGAGACTCAAACAAGTGGAATTTACTAATGGAAGTCCCACTCAAAGCTCATTAGAATAATAATCATGTTATAGTGCATTTCCTCAGAAGAGGTGAAGCAATTTGTGAGACATCCTGGCGTACTTCAAATCCCAGGTGTTTTATATGCAAACGGAAAGCCACTCCGGGGTATCCCAGTGCAGGAATCAGATTCAGTAAGGTGTTGCATTAAGTATGAGCCCATGAAGCATCTATGAGGCATTCAGACAGTCTGCGCAGGGTGAACAAGACAGACTCATGTAACATTCATGGTGGGAAATGTAATTTTAAAAATTATTTTAGATTAGAGATTTGTAGGACGAGAGTTGCGATAAATGCACAGCATGCAAGGAATGGTTCACCCCAAAAATGTAATTTCTATCATCATTTAATCACCCTTGTGTAGTACTAATTGTTATTTTCCTTCATGGAACATAGATGTAGGTGTTTAGCATAATGTTTTCCATACAATGGAAGTGGATGGGGACTGGGGCTGTTGAGCTCCAAAAATGACAAAGATTTTCTGTGAATAACTACTTAAATTTCTGCTTTTTTATGCACACAATGCTATAAGATTGTTTCAGAAGACATGTAATATAATCCAAGAATTGTACAGATTACTTTCATATTGTTTTTTTTGTTGTTGTCATTTTTGGATCTCAACATCGCCAGTCCCCATCTACTTTCACTGTATGGAAAAGAGCAGCTTGAACACTCTGGTAAAAAATATTTTTTAGCATTCATTGGAAGAAAATCTAAACTCAAATTATGACCTTAGAATGACAAGAAGGTAAGAAAATGATGACAATTTTCATTTTTAAGTGAACTGTCTCTTTAAAATATGTCCTCCTATATCGATTGACCCTTGATATACATTTACGAACACTTATGAATTGACTCCAGCTGTGTGTTTGTTAATAATGTCTGCAATAATTGTGAATAAGTGGACTTATACAATTGTGCATGTCAAGTTCACTCTTGCAGAAACTCCCTAGAGCAGCCATGCAGACATACTGGTACATGTGCATTTTAATAAACAAACAGTCATGCGACACACACAGTGATGGAATTGCTTTTCAAATACATGTATACACTGAGTGCGGACACACAACATCTAGGGGTGCAATCTCATTTGAATACACACTGACACACACTCCCCACCCCCACACACCACACACGGAAGCATTATACAGTCTTTAACTCACGTTGGAGTCCAGCAGGTCGATGCCGTCCAGGCTCTTGCTGCGGTGGATTCGGCCCTTGATTCTGCGCAGGGATGGTTTGCCGTACACCGATCCCTCAGATTCTTCCAGCAGAGAGATGTTTTCTGGTGTGCCAATGAAACCGTGGATCTTGGGATAGTAACTAAGAAAGTGACAGACAGTGTGTGTTAGATGTGGTGTAAATGTAATCTCAATTAAAAAGATGAGCACAACCAATGGAGTTTCGTTAGTGAAATGGAGTGAAAAGGGCTTAAAATGCTTACACTGCAGGCCCGTACTCGTCTTTGTCGTGCTTGGGGAAGACCCTGAGATTGAAGAACAAGAGAAAGAGAGAAACACTTTAAATTTCATGACAAAATAGACAAAAACTATGAAAATAGAGACATTTATAAGGGATAGTTCACATTGACAATTGAAAATTGACAATTTTGTCATCAAGACACTCTTCTGTGGAAAAAAAAAGATAATTTGAAGAATGTTTTAGCTCTTTGTCATTGACTCATTTTAGGGATATATTGGAATTTTTTTTTTTTTGCTTTCAACAGAAAAATAAAGTTGTTCAGGTTTGGAATGACGTGGGGTAAATGAGGACAGAATTATCATTTTTGGGTAAACTATCTAATTTTCTCTATGTTAAAACACTTTTCAAAACCATTATTTTTGTAGTTCTGTTTGATGACAAAAGTGGCATAGAAATGACACATTTCACCTAAAATATGTAAAGAAACCATATAAGCTATTTACATGAACTGCCATAAAACTACATAAAGATGTCCAAATGCGACGACATTTAAATGTTCGGTTTGTTGACCTGCAAACCATATGAAATATCATTCTCCATCATTCCTTACCATGGTTTTTTATGATGTACAGGTTTAGATTTTTGTAAATTCCAAGCAATATGTCATGTTTAGTTTAGATATGACTGTCTCTGTTACTCTTTGAAGGATAATTAAATACAGAAAACAGAAATATTAAAGTAAAAATACATTTATGACTCACTCCCACCCGGGTCACGGCACCAATATAACCCCTCCTGTCTTGAGATCAGGGGAGTGTATGAAAGTTGTAACATAGCATATGAAAGTTGTGGGTGGTGGTCAGTTAGTGTGTACATTTTTATTTTTGAATGACTTTTTAAACTTTAGATTTTCTTTCCAGTGAGAAATTAGTGTTGTAGTAATTATACATTCACTTAGTTATCACCAAAGCTGTCTCTATTTTGTTGTACATCAATAAACTGTTATGCTGCCTCAGAAGTCTGTCCGAAATTTCGGGAGGTACCTTCATGCACAAATGCTGCCTGTGAAGTCATTGTCTGTTAGGCCAGTGAGAAACAAGTCACTGCCTTTCAGACGCAGCCATATACTACTGAGCGCCCAGCTAATTTTGCAGTCCAAACAAGATGCTTAGCTCTGTTACAGCCACAAACAAAAGCCTACAAAAAGGCTACAACTTGGGTAGTCCGTTTGTTCCTAAAATGGTTCTTCTATGGCATTGCTGCGAAAACCCTAGTTTGGCATCTTTATTTTTAAGAGTGTAAAGTGCAAAGTTAGCTCCTGAACTCAGGGTTCTCATGATCATGGAAAAACATGGGGATATCAGGGAATACCAGATCTGAAAAGTCATTAAAATAAATAATATTCTCAAGGGAAAAAAATTCTATAGTAATTTTCTAAATTTTGTATTTAATTTTAATTACAAAAATTTTTTTTTTGGTTGTATAAGCCCCCTTCTTTTTTAGACTTTTAATTATGTTTAATGCATTAATGCTTCTGCATTAACGAGTGGACCAGTCTTTGAAATATGTTCATCAGAAAGTGGGATCCCTGTGAATTATACAACAGCAAATATAATAATGCAACAGGGGTTTTCAAACTGGAGTCTAGGGCCTGACTGGAGAGCCACACATGGGTCTGAATAAAAAAATAATAATAAAAAATGTCAAATTAGAGAAAAGTTTAAATAATAATAAAAGTCGACTATTTTTTATTATACTTTTTTTTTTGAAAAAAAACTAGTAAAATTTATCAAAATTTTATACTCAAGACACATACAAGACAATTAAATATACAAAAAATGCTTTACAAATACATTTGAACATCATATTTTGACTTCTTCCTATGTGCCTCATAAAGCTATCAGGCACAGTTAGATATAGAAGCAAAGGATACCGCTTGATCAGCAAGTCAATATCCACGTTAACATTGGCCTTTAAGTCGGTAGAACGGTTTAGACACAAATACACAGTGCTGACCAGCATCCATGACTGCCATCAACATTATCTTTGCTGCCATTATCACAAACGTTAATCTGATTTTCTCTTCGGCCAGCACAGAATGGCCTAAGGGCACCACAGCGAGAGCAGGAACAAATGCAGTCCTGTGTGTTCAGCCCGGGCTGAACGTGAAATCTCTACTAGAGAGGGACGTTTATTTGCCTTGATGGAGGAGAGTTACTTACAGAGAGTCTCAATCAGCACTCTACTTGTCTACTGGAAAGGAGGGGCAAAAACTGTGTGGGGAAACCCAGAGATTAGCATGAAACGTGACCTAGACGCTTCTTCTAAACTCTGTGGCTTCCGTCAGTCAAGCGCGCACACGGCTCACGTTTAAAAGAGTGTGCAAATGCTAAAAAAACAAGTGTAAAGAGGCCTCGGGGTGGACAACTGCCGCCTATTTTATTACGCCAGGTTACAACTAAGCTCTGGAATAGTTTGTACGACTGCAGGGGAAGAAGACCATCTGCTGTGTTTCCAGGACTGGGAACAGACATCGTTCTCAGAACTTCTCTTTTTCCGCTCAGCACGGCCGAATCTGAGGGTTTAGAAAAGGCATTTCTGTTAAATTACTGGTAATGAATGCTAAAGGTGGCCAGGAATGAAGAGCCCTGATGGACCGTTTGTCTTCATGATTGTAGAGGCATCTGATATTTCCTTTGATCAAAGACAAATGAGACAGGATTTATTACAGTCACGTCCCACAGAGTTAACTGATCCAGTTACTAGGTATGTTACATATTTGAGTCAATCATTTGATATCACATACAGCAAAAAACGTAGCATGTTGACTGTCCATTATTGTCCACAAGGGCCCTTTTAAGCAATCTTTACTCGCCTCATGAGAACTCATCTCCACTATGTTTCTCCTTTTACCTCTTTTCCTGGATTGATCCTGAAGTCTTCTGGGTGAAAGTGGACAGATATTTAACCACAGGCCAGGCAGCTCACCTAGGAACAAATCGAATGTAGCAGCTCTCAAAGACGAGAAATTCTTATGCATCCTCTGGTCAGATTTCAGAGTCTCTAGTACTGTGAATGCTTCTTCATACCGTGAAAGTACACAAAATATGATATCCATAATTTTTTCAGCAATTAATGACTGTTAAGAATATATCTAGGTAACATTTCACCCCAAAAATCAAAGGAACAATAAAGCCTTTTTTTAGTGCAATTTTGATTTATTGCATTGTGACATTATTTTTAAGTAAATTAGGCACATTTTCTTACTCCGTTTGCATTACCTTAAGGGGGCGGAAAAATCTAATTTTCATTACTATAATGCGAAAACATACAAACAAATCTATTGCATGACAGTATTTTTATAGCAATAAGAATCCTTTATAGTAAGTAGGAAAAATGTGATATCCACTGTCAAACTGTCAAGAACATGGGTTACACCAAAACCAGAAGAAAAAAAAAAACAAGGATTTGAAGACATTCACAGTTATCTCACATGAAAATGAGGCCTATTTTCCATTTTCCCTCCCCAGTTCTCATTACCATAATTGCAAGCAAAATTCCAATCATTCTAATTACCATAACGTGAAAAACTAAAAGCCCCTTAAAATATGTTAAATTAATTAAATGACCAATTTTATATAATTTTAAAAAATCACACATACAATGATTAATGGAATAGTTCACCCAAAAGGAAAATGTATTCACCATCAGGCCATCCAAAATTGGTTTGTTTCTTCATCAAAACAGATTTTGAGAAATGTAGCATTACAACACTTGCTCACCAATGGATCCTCTGCAGTGAATGGGTGCCATCAGAATGTCCAAACAGCTGATAAAAACATCACAGTAATCCACACCACACCAGTCCAGTTCATTAATTGACGTCTTGTGATGTGAAAAGCTGTTTATTTTTAAGAAACCAATCCATCATTACGATGTTTTAACTTTTATACCGTTGCTTCTGTGTGGATAACTTGTGGATTATTGTGATGTTTTATCAGCTGTTTGGACTCTCATTCTGGCGGCACCCATTCAGAGGATCCATTGGTTAGCAAGTAATCTAATGCTACAATTCTCAAATGATGAAACAAAATCATTTACACCTTGGAGACAATTTTTGGAAGAATTAATCCTTAAAATAGTAAATCGCTTTGAATAAAAGAATGTTTAAATGCCTAAATGTAAATGTCATTGTAGAATGATTTTAAGGCACATATTGCAGTAATGAGAAATGTCCAGAGAACATTTTTTTCTTTTGATATTGGGGTGAAATGTGACATGGACATGTTCTTTACTGTGATGCTACTTTTGTTTCCATGTACCACAAATCCCACTACAGCTGTAAACTGAGAACATTCCTGTGTTATCATGTTTCAAAATCCACGAAGATTTGACAAATACACATAAATCCAAAATGAGGATGATGCACCTTAAACCCTGAGAGATGTCTTTGCGATGCAGTGTTTGGATGGTGGTGCTCCACTCGTTTGAGTAACGATTAATTACCATTTATCTTATTTTTATATTATTTTACTATTTATTACTAATTAATCGTTACTCAAACGAGTGGAGCACCACCATCCAAACACTGCATCGCAAAGACATCTCTCAGGGTTTAAGGTGCCTCATCCTCATTTTGGATTTATGTGTATTTGTCAAGTTTTCTGGTTATTTGGAGCTTGTCGCATTAAGTACTCATCTCGATTGTAAATTACATTCGCTTGCTTGGTTGATTTGCCGCTTTGATGTTGTAGCACACATGGCTCCTCGTAGTACAGAACACCACGGCTTCTCCTTTAAGGGTCAACTATCGTGCTACTGCTGACATGAAGTAAAACAAGCTGACCTCCATTTAAGGGGACAATCTTACAAAATGAACCTAACTAGCTGCTACGAGAGCCCGAGGTACTTTTAATGACAATGAAAACAAGATGAAAAATCTGGGTATGCCTTAACTTTTTATTTCATTTGAAATTGCACATAGTAGACATACACATGAATGATGTGACACACTTGGGTTTGTAGTAGAGTGAATCATGAATGAAGTGACACAAGGTAGAGCTT